ACTGATCTCAGAGCAGCTTTAAAGTTTGAGTTTTTGTTGTAGTTCGGGATGTAGACATGGGAGCGGAGAGCTTATTATTATTATTATTATCCATTTGCAACATAAATGCTGTGATCCATGAATGTGGACTTAAGTGAGTGGCGTCCTACTGTTAGTGACATCTGGTGGTCAGTAGTGGTATTGCGAGAGACATCACAGTAAAATGTCATACATCATATATATTAGAATCTTTTTATTTCGCCATGTTTGATACACATACAAGGAATCGATCTCGGTGAGTCACACATGTATGACGTGTAACACACTGAACAGACCAGACACGCACATAGACTGTCAACAAGTATTTAACTAAGGCACAAATAAGATAAACATAGAATGAATAGAATAAAGAATAAGAGAGTAGAGTCAAAATGAAAGGAGCTGAAGAGATGAATTTGTGAATATCTGTACATATGCAGGTTTGAGGAGAAATATAACATGATAAACATTTTATACAGTATATTAAAGAACGATATGAACATCTGTAAAAGAAATGCAGCATTACAATACTTGATTTTTTTTAAAATAATATTCAATTTCCCTGAAGTTTTAACAGAAAGGAAAAAAAAATAGCAAAAACTATCAATATGACTTTTATTAGACATTTCACACACTAAATCCTATTTAGCGGGATAAATTATGCACCTTTTCCAGCGAAATATGCAGCATTATGATGAGATCCATGACTCAGAAAAGTGTGTTGTGACAATTTACCATAATAATGAAGTATGTTAATGTCAGCCACCCCTAGTTTAAACTGAGGACACCTGTTCTGGACAGCCTATAACTCTAATTACATATAGCCTGGTATAACCAATGCAGACTGTTCTTCGTCAGTGAGAATCTTCTTCACTGCAAGTTCAGTCTTCAGTTTCCTAGAAAAAGTCTACACATTCACACAGCTCATTCTGGATATTTTTAGATACATGACAGTCTAGGCCAGGGGTCGCAACCCAAATGTAGAGAAGAGCCATTTTGTCTTTTCAACAAGAATCAAACCACCTTAACAGCCACAACATTTTATGTCCATTTTACCATCTTGGCTGTAAATGTCTCAGTATGTGCTGATGTACTAATATAGAAAAAAAATACAATATAAACGTAAATGCAAACTCACTTTGCTCTGCTTTAAGCTTTAGCTCAGCTACAGCCACTTTTCTCACATCTCCAGCAGGAAACCTTTCCTCAAAAGTAGAACAGTTTCTTGTAAAATGTCTCTCAATGTTCCACTTTTTACGAGGCTGAAGTCGCTTCTTATTCTCCAGCCTCTCATTCGAATGTTCCCGTTCCACCTTAAATGGTGCCTGAGACGCTAGAATGTAACTGCTGCACCATTTAAGGTAGAACAGGACAGTTCGAATGAGAAGCTGCGAATGAGAAGCGACTTCAGCCTCACGACTTTTTAGTGTTTGTCAGTTTCTCGTTGCAGATTAAACGTATCAGGAAACCAGCTGGAGTCATTATAAACACAAATAAGTCAATTCATCTCCAAATTATTGATGTTCATCTTAAATCTCTCTCTTTGCCGTTTTGTTAGCTACTAGCTAGGTGAGATTGTTGTCTGTGTTGCTATGGTGACCAGCAGTCTGTGCTGATCTTCAGGGTTAAAGGGTGAATTAGCAGTTCTACATTAACTCCAGAGTTTAAGACCATTTATTGTTAAACTGTGTTGAACGATCAGCAGAGCTTTATTTTACTGTAAAGGAGGATTATTTTATTTTTACCTACTAATCTGATTCTGCTGTGGAGCCACAACAGGGAAGTAACAGAGCCGCATGTTGCCGAGCCCTGGGGTAGACTATACATAATGTCCTGTGTATTATACATAATATATTGTTGCTGTCAGAACAAAACCTTATATCTCCAAAAAGGTAACTTTACAACAGAAAAACATGTTCTTAACTTTTGCAAGTGTAAGTTAATGGAGAACTGATTTATTTCCAGTGGACCGTTTCGGTTGGTCCACTCTTTCTGAAATCCTAAAACAATGTAAATGGCAGCTAGAATTTTAAATTATGTAAAAAATGTAAGGTTTGTCCCAACTGTGACAACATACTCTATTATTAATTTGTAAAAGTAGTTACTAGCCAATGCCGACACACTTAAAAAGATGGTTCTTCAAGGGTTCTTGTATATGTCGTATATGGTTCAGAAGCTTTTTCAAAACGAGCACCAAAAAGGGTTCTCCCGTTGTTACAATGTCAAGCTTGTATACAATAGAAGAACCATTTTTGGTGCTATATAGATATATACAACACATTCTCCATCAATCTGAAGATCCCTTACATGATGCAAAGAGCCCAAAGTTTTATTTGTCACATACATACAACCAGCAGTGAAATGCTTGGATAACTGCCCACTCACATGAAGTAATAAGGTAATAAGGGGGACATATGACATGAAGTGAAATATAGGGCTCAAGCAATCATGCAAAGGGATCTTTGAGTGCTAATGGTTCTTTATAGAACCATTTTCTTTTCTAAAGAACCCTAGAAGAACCATCTTTTATTCGAGCGTAGTTTTGCCAGTCAGTCCTTCACTAAAATAAATTGTGTGCTGCACTGTTAGAAATAAAGGTTCTGTTCAGGTACATTTTTTGTTCATCAAGGTACAAACAGTGTAAATGTTCCCTCAAAGCTCCAACAGTGGTTTTAAGGTCTGATTGTGAACCTTAAATAAGTTTCTCCAGGTGAAAATTTCGTATTTGTACCTTTTCATAACCGAATGTTTTAAAACAGAACAGTAAAATAAAAGCCTGGAGACGAGACGGGGTGTGTGGAGTCAGTACAGCTTAGTACATATTAATCGTAATTAAAATTACAATTATCATTGTATTATCTTGTTTTTTCAGTGTATTTTGGTCCTTTTCTTCATAACAAGCCTGAAAAAATTTCTAATAGCATGCTAATGTCTCGGTAGCTAGCTAGCTAAATTTCCCGTTCCACCTTAAATAGTCCAGCAGTTCTGATGCCTGAAGCACCAGAATGTAACTGCTGCTCTATTTAAGGTGGAACGGGAAAATTCGAACAAGAATCTGGTGAATATCTGACTTCAGCTTCATATCACTGAATAATTAGGGGTGGGTGATAATAAATAATTGCCCCCTCTTTGAAGTCATATGATGCCCTAAATGTAACTAAAGCCCAGCAGTGAGGAGCTGAACTTCACCCTCCTCTGCTATCACTGCAGACGCGCTGGGTCGCATAGAGAGCGCCGCTAGGAGCCTGTTAATGAAGCAGTGTTTTTTGTTTTGTTTTTTTTTAAATTTGAGGGTTGTCCCATTTCGTAGGGCAAGATTTCAACCACTACCACTTGTAACTCAGTTAGGGTGACACTCAAAAACAAGGGGTAGGGGTAAAAAGAAAAAATGTTCTTAATGGGCCTTAATGTTCATTATTTGCTCCTGTGTGATCCGGCCTGTGATGTTCTGAGTATTGAGTCAATGACAGAAAGTAAATGCTTCTTGCTGTTGTTTTTACACCTCAAGTTCAACCCTGCGTTCGCATGCGTTCAGTGTGAGAGCACCGTTCCGTAGCGACGTGCCTTTATGTGGGGCAAACTGACACTGGTCAATGATACAGATGCATGAATGCCTTTATATTTGAGAGTCTTGGTGGCTCTGATTTGGTACTATAAACAGACATTTCTTTCTCATGCTGCGGTTAAAGAGGCTGATTTATTCTGTTATTTCAGACTGATGGCACTAATGAACATCAAGCTGTTCTGATAAATACTACTGGAACACAATACAGTTAAAAGAATGAATTACACCTCCTCATCTTCCCTTTGTCCTGACTAATACACCATCCTGCTTTCCGCCAAACCTAATTATCTCACAAACCGTGGCACTCGGTTAATCTAATCAGCCTGAATAATGCTGTAAGAAGGTGTACAATACATCTTTAGACTTGACCTTTGACAGATGTTACCTTGAATTCATAACAGTGTATGAACCTTGTGTCCATCCTTCATGCCACCATCCGCCATCAGACTGGAAATCAACTGATATTTTTAATTAATACTGTCCAATAAAATATTTTGTCCCTGTAAATTTGTTTAAGGACACTTGATTAGATGTGACTAGACTAGATGTGTCCCAATTCAGGGGCTGCGTCCTTTAGAGGCTGCATTTGAAGGCCGATTGCATCACGGCGGCACCACTAGGCTGTCCCATTTCGAAGGCTCCTTCATATGCGGCTGAGAAATGTGTTGTCCTTTTCCATGGTAAAGATGAATCCAATGGGTGAGTCCTTCGCCAGCCAACATATCCTGAGGTTCATTGCGTGCTGGCCAGGGTTCGAGAACATGACAGCGTCAGCAGGGGAGCAAACGGCGGCTGAGGAGACACTTTTAAATATAAGTTAGTTGAATAGCTAACGATACAAATGGTAAAGCCAATGTGGTCTGAAGCAGAACTTATGCTAATGTGTAGGTGCCGGCAGTGAAGCATCTCCAGCTCAAATAAATAAAACAATAAAAGACCAAAATCAAAATTTCTGACTCCAACTTCAAAGAACTTTAAAAGAACTTGACAGGAGTGCCGTTCCGTGATGCAGCGGTGAGGACAGGAACAGCGGTGCTGAGATGCAAACAGGAAATCCACTGTAGAGCAGACCGTCTCATTTCGGTTCAGCCAGAGAACTTGTAGAGAGGAGAATTACCACTCTAATGTCTTCCAGGTTTCTCAAACGCTAGAGGGCGCTCCCGAGCAAGTCCAAAATGAATGGGTTAATATGGAGCCTTTGAGCAAAATCATAATTTATTAATGATGAAACATTTTTTATGTAAAATAATTAATTCATTTCTGAACACAGAACAGCATAAAACATTTTAACACCGCTGTTATATATTTTGGATGCAGGCCCTGAATTGGGACACAGCTTCTTTATGTGAAATGAGCAATAAGGTGTAAAAGGGGAGGGGCCACTGAAAGAAGCCATTAGTCCAGGTACACACACAAATCAGATGGTGATGCCTTAATGTTGTTTAATATGATTCATTTGTACATTTGTAACAGTAATATGTGCAACAAACCATTTTTTCTTTGCCTAAAACAGGCAATTTACAAGATTACTTTTTTCCTAATACATACATGAAATAATCCACAGTCTCGACTCTGAAGTACATTGTTTACAGTACAGATTTTTTTTTTCTCTAAACTGAGACACAGTCTCGCATTAAGCCACAAGCTATAACACAGTTCAGTGTGCCCTGCTCATAATGTTAGACGCACATGCGGTTCCAAAGCGAGCCCTCATTCGAGGGCACTGTTGATATGTACTCTTAAAAAGACGGTTCTTTAGTAAAGGCACGGCTTCTGTATGGAACCGTGAAGACTCAAAGAAGCATTTCCATGCTTAAATGGTTCACTGCATGGTGAAATCGTTCTTCAGATTGATGGAGAATATGTTGTATACGGTTCTATATAACAGTGGTGGACAGTAACTAAGTAATTGTAATTCATTACTGTACTTAAGTAGTTTTTTCCTGTATCTGTACTTTACTGAAGTTTTTCCATTTTGGGTGACTTTTTACTTTCACTCCACTACATTTCAAAGTCTAATATCTCACTTTTTACTCGACTACATTATGAGAAATCGGTCGTTCCTTTTGGTTTATGTGTGTATAAAAACGTAACATGTCAAAACAAAAGAAGCACAAAGCAAGAGCACCAATCAGGAAACAGTGCGCGCTTAGTTTTGAGCTTGTTTTGACCTGTTGGTCATACCGACCCAGTGCAGCACACGGTTCAACATCAGTGCAACTCATTTGTAAATCTGAGTTTATACTTTTGTACCTTTACTCAAGTGGAGGTCTAAAGGGAGGAACTTCTACTTTTACTGGAGTAATATTTTACCTTGGGTATCTCTATTTTAACTCAAGTACATGGTTTGTGTACTTCGTCCCCCACTGATATATAGAAAAAGGGTTTTTCTATTGTTATGATATCAAGTTTGTGACAATATAAGAACCCTTTTCAGTGCTACACAGAACCATACACAACGCAATTTCCATCAATCAATCGATCAGAAGAACCATTTCACCATGCAAAGAACCATTTTAGCATTCAAATGTCTCTTTGAGCATTCACGGTTCTATACAGAACCACTATTTTACCAAAGAACCATCTTTTTTGAGAGTGTGGTGTCTGGTGTTGAGTATTAAGATCAGTTTGAAAGGTGTGTGGAATCAGATCATCAACAGCGCCACGCTGAATGAATCCTCAGGCTGTGGACTTACAGCCAGCTCCCCAGCCCTATTCCGGTTCATCACTGACGTTTTATGGACATAATTCAGAAATAAGGGTGCAAACTGGCAGACGGCCAGCAAAAAAACTGACCCCGAACAAACGTCGTATCCTACACAAAGGCTTTTCAGGACAACTGGGTATCAGATCCAGAAGATCTACTTAAAGTTTCTTAAAAATAAAAGGGAAGAGTCGTCTAAATAACGCCAACGTAGCACATATCAAATGATGCAGCTGCCAGTTAGCATGAAGTAACAGGACTAGCATTCGTTCACCTTTAGTCACGTTAGCACTGTTTGACGGTCAACAGACTAACGCTAACATGGCTAATAATGGATAAGACGCCAGTTAGCATGATGTCAAACTAACTTAAGCCCAGCTTTTATTCATTGCTGGAATCACATTAGCATTACATGACCAACATGTCAACAAAACAATGCTAATGCGGAGAGTAATGAACGTTAATTAACAGATAGGTTAACTGAATAATGCTAATGTGGATAGTAATGAATGTTGAGATGCCAGTTAGCATGAAGTCAAAGTAATAAGACTAGCTTTTATTCACTGCGAGCCACATTAGCATTACCTGACTAATATGTCCACAGAATAATGCTAATGTGACTAAAAACAGATGGTAAGACGTCAGTTAGCATGAGGGCAAATTCACTGCTAGCTGCATTTGCGTTATTTAACAGGTAGGTCAACTGAATAATGCTAATGTAGCTAATAATGAATGTTTAGGTTGCCAGTTAGTTTGAAGTAACGAGACTAGCTTTCATTGACTGCGAGCCACATTAGCATCATATGGCTAATATGGCAATAGAATAATGCTAACAAGGATAGCAATGGATAAGACACCAGTTAGCATGATGTCAAGGCAATTTAAGACTCACTAGAATCACATTGGCATCACATGGCTAATATATCAACAGAATAATGCTAATGTGGATAGTAATGAATGCTAAGATGCCAGTTAGCATGATGCCAAAGTAACACAGCACTAGCTTTCATTCACTGCACATCTGCATTATTTAACAGACAGGTCGACTGAATAATGCTAATGTAGCTAATAAGGAATGTTTAGGTTGCCAGTTAGCATGAAATTAAAGTAATAAGACTAGTTTTTATTCATTGCGAGCCACGTTAGCATCACATGGCTAATACGGCAACAAAATAATGCTAATGTGGATAACAACAAATGTTAAGATGCCGGTTAGCATCAAGTCAAAGTAGTAAGACTACCTGTCTTTCACTGCGAGCCACATTAGCACTGTTTACCTGATACGTCAACTGAATAATGGAAAATGTGGCTAATAATGATGGTAAAAAGCCTGTTAGCATGTGAAGATAACAGGTAATGCTCTGTTTCATTCACTCGTAACTACATTAGCATAATTTTATTAATATGTCAACAAAATAACGGTAATGTAGCTAATAATGAACGCTGACTTTGCCAGTTAGCATGACATCAAAGTAATAAGCTAGCGACTTTAGCATTACGTGACCGACAGGTCAACTGAATAATGCTAATGCGGCTAGCTGTGAATGACAGCTAGTCTTAAGGTACTTCATCGTCATTCTAACCTCAATGTTCACCATTATCTACGTTACCATTATTTTGAAAACCAGCCTTGCCTGTTGTCTTAACATGCTAACTGACTAAAGGCTAATGTGGCTAATAATGAATGGTGAAATGCCAGTTAGCATGTGAAAATAACAGGTAATGCTGTTTGATTCACTCGTAGCTACGTCAGCAGTATTTTACTAATCTGTCAACAAAATAACGGTAATGTAGCTAATAATGAACGCTGAATCTGCCTGTTAGCATGACATCAAAGTAATAAGCTAGTGACTTTAGCGTTACTTGACTGACTGGTCAACTGAATAATGATAATGTGGCTAACAATGAACGGTAAAATGCTAGTTAGCTGGTCAAGATCGCAAGAAAGACTCACTCGTAGCTACATTAGCAGTATTTTACTAACATGTCAACAAAATAACGGTAATGTAGCTAATAATGAACGCTGAATTTGTTAGTTAGCATGACGTCAAAGTAATGTAAGAGTAGCTGTCAGTCACTGCTAGCGGATTAGCGTTACTTGACTGACTGGTCAACTGAATAATGCTAATGTGGCTAATAATGAACGGTAAAAAGCCCGTTAGCAGGTCAGGATAACGGGTCAGTCTCGCTTTCACTCCCTCGTAGCTACATTAGCATTATGTGACAGAACCTTTAATTAAAACAAAAATAAGTGTTATTTCTCTGCTGCAGAGGCGCAGAGATCGGGCTCTATCCCACCATCCTCCGGCGACAGGAAGCTGTGTAGTAACGCAGTCAGGCCTCTCGTAGCACAAATGCTGTTTCCCTCCAACAAACGCAGGAGACGAACTGTTTCACCCACGTTCAGGTTTAAAACTACACCAACCATTTCCAGGTACGTTCTGAACACCTTTAATGCTTTCCGAGGTCAAAACTGAACCCCAGTAGTCCAGGTGAAGCTTTGAAGAACCATGTAAATGAACGCACAGGTCTCTTAAAAAGGAAAACAAAGGGTTCTCAGGTGCTTTAAGTCCCGTGAGTGTTCCAGGGAAGCCAGTCCACTGAGGACTGCTAAGTTTAATGTAAAGAACTCTCCTGTAAATCGGTCACCGTTTATAGCGGATCAGGAAATGTGATTAGTTTCAGTTTTGGCCCAGGCACACCCAGCGCACCAGTGTCCTCCAGGGCTCACAAGATCACCCGGTTCTGAACTCTGGAGGCCCAGCTTCGACCCCGGGGGCATCTCGCTGTCACACAACCCGGGCCAAAAATTTATATTTTTTCTTCAGCTTGGAAAAGCTGTTATTTTTTTTTCACCGTAGCATGGTTTGGTTTTTCCAGCTTAGAACCTTGAGTTCTGCATAGAACCATCTTTAAAATGGTGGAATGGTTCTTCAGACTGTTGCGTTTGGTTCTGTGCAGCACTGAAAGGGATTCTGCTATCGTTATCAATGTCAAGCTTCTAAAAGAACGCCCATTTTTGGTGCTGCAAAAGAACCACTTTCAAAAAAGCTTCCGTGCAGAACCGTTCCCAACATGTTCTCCATCAATCTGAAGAACCATTTAACCATGATGGTTCTAAATAGAACCACTCTTTACTAAAAAACCCTAAAGAACAATCTTTTTTTAAGGGTGTACCTCTTTAACAGAACTCAACTTGCTGAAGTTGTGCCTTGACTGGTCGAGCTACAGGAAAACAACTCAAAAATAAAATAAAATAAAATAAAAGTAAAATGAAATAAAGTAGCAAGACAGGAGTTGATTGGCAGACATGTTCTTCACAAGCACAGGTGAACCAGAACATTAATAACTTACCTTCCTAGTGACGAGACCTTCCACAACTCTTATTGCACTGACAAGCAACTGAACAACCACGAAAACAGTGGCAGCTACAACGTAGCACGGAACTTACAACACAAGACCTTCGGCCACCAGCCGGGCAGACAGCAACTGGACAAATGCGACAATCAAAGGTCTTACAGTCGCAGTATTCTTTTCATCATATCCTTGAGTTGTGTTCCCAATTCAGAACTCCAAAAAAAACCATAACTGAAGTTCATATTTTTCCTCCGTATGACAAAATAAACTATTCGACAGGAGACGTCACGGCATTCTCCGTTTCTTTTGAAGCAGGGAGTCTATTAGAAATGTTCACAACACATGCTATACATGATTTAGGCTTAATACGCTGTTGGGGAGTCTCAACAGGCTACATGTTAACGTCGCAGTCATTATATTTATTTATATATATGTATATATGTTCCATATGTGCTGTTCCACCGCTGGCTGCAAGTGCAGTTTATGCTGCAGGGGGAGGGAAGATCATGCTCATGAGTTTGGCTGTAAGGTGTTTAGCTACAGCCTAAACTACAGGCTTCTCCTTTTCGCGCCTTCGGCATGACCTCCGGGTTCTCTCAGACGACTCGGAACGATAACAGCAGACACAGAAGGCGAGCGCCGCCTGAAGAGCTTCGGGCGCATTAGTGTATGATATGGGACGACGTAGCAGTTGCTAAAACGTGTATAAACGAAAAAAAGAGGAAAAAAAAAAATACCCGTCACTTTCTGTATCGTCCACGTCTCGTGCCGTCGCCGAACATGGGCGCGTGCAAAGAAAACCGACTGGAGAAAGCGGAAAAAAAAACAACCCTCCAAGAACAAAAAGGAACCATAAAAACAGAAAATAAACGAAAGACGTCCGTCTACTTCTTGCTCCGCAGGCGCTTGGAGTGGCGCGGCAGGTCCAAACCCTTGCGGGGCCGCTTGAGGGACGGGCCGTCCTCGGCCGCCCCGGGACTCGAGCCGACTGGGCTGCCGGCGGCGGAGGAGGTGGACGCTATCGCCACCACGGCCGAGGAGGAAGAGGGTGCGGAGGAGGAGGTGGAGGGGGCGGAGGCGCCCACGGCGCTCTCCATCAGTTCGCGCAGCTTGTGTTCGAGCTCGGCCAGCCGGGCGTTCTGCTCGCCGATCACCTGCGTCTGCTCCAGCAGCTTCTGCTCCTGGTCCTGCAGCTGCTTCTGCTGCTCCAGCTGCTTCGCCCGCACCTCCTGCATCTCGCGCCGCAGCGCCGTCATGGAGGCGCCGTTCACCTTCACCTGCTGCTGCACCTTGGTCATCTCCGAGCGAGACGGCGTGTTCTTGGCGAGCAGCGTCATGGTGGTCAGTGAGGTGGACGGCCCGGCCACTGGAGAGAAGGGTCACAAGGGTCACTGTTAGGCATGCGTGAGGGGATGGGAGATATTTCAAAAAGACCTTCTGCGATGTTTAAAATCGAAGATTCTTCCCAAAACCCCCTCTGAGAACACCAAATCAGAACAACTGTAGTGCTGTTATGAAGTACTTAATGAAGAGCTTCATTATGTACTATTAATTAAAAGCTTGGAATCACTAAGTGATGTTATTTTATTCAATAATAGCTTATAATTTACAAATACTATGAGCTAAACACCAGAAGGGAATCACAGGGAATTTTTTTCAATATTTTAAGCTTTTTTGGAAACAGTGATAAATTATTTAATGACCAATAATACACTCTAATTACATATTTATATATTATTTACTAAAATAACAAAAAAACCCTAGTTTACACACAGTCTTCCCAAACGGAGTAATCAGCAAAGCCACGTTTGGTGCTGAATCCTTATTTCTGCACCAAACCTACGAGGCTAACATAGTAATAAAAGCCTATGCATATCCATTATAATCACGGATTACCAAACAACTCACTTAACAAGCTTGCTTATGTGATTTCGCACACCTAAAACATACGGTTATCTATAAAAACGAATAAAGCTGTGTACAAAATTCTGGCTTTCAAAACAGCTGCTACACAGCTGTGTTTTAGACGTTTGTAACATCTATCTACTTCATGTGGACAGAGGAAAAAATATTTAAATGACACTTTTCTACAAACTATCGGCAGGAAGGGGAACAGCGTTCTCTGTAAGATGCACAGAAAATTGAGCCAATAAAAGTTTTCAGACGAAAATGGTTCACTATCTATCTACTAATCATTATAGATGGTAATAAAATGAGAAACAGTGATTGAAAACACGGCACGCTCCCTTTGCCATTCATCGCAGATGTTGTGAAAATGTCGTCCACATGCAGCTCTTTCACGGTTCCTATGAGGGACATTAGAGAAGTGATTTATGATCACTCTTCTTGCCGAGCATCAAGAGGAGATACGACAGCCAGGACCTTCACTATTACAGGTTTGATACCATTACATCTCACTCGCTAAATTAAACGCAACAGAAAAACAGAAGCGGAAACAAAAGTCCCTGCAAACCCAGTGTCGGCATCTGTAACCTCTGAAATTATGAAAAACATTCACACTGACAGCTTCGAAGTGCGTAAAAATATAATGGAATTCATCGCTTTGGATGAACTAGTTTTGTTTATGAGGAAATTTGTTTACGTGGTACATATTCAGTGCACTGTAATACCACAACGCTGTAACTCGTACACTGTCATCATTTTCGTATGTTTATTTTATTTAACGCCTTTTTTGTCTCAGTACGTCCTGAATTTTGTTTTTGTCTACAAACTTTCATTTCAGTGCATGAATTCTGAATATACATTTTGTGTGTTTGTATGTTAACCCTCTATGGCACAATGTTGCCTCAGGGCAACAAACTCATTTTCCTCACTTCACAATAACATTATACATAATTAAAGACAAAAACAGGGTTAACAACAAAGGGAAGAGTTTGAGTAAGCCAATAAAAAGCATGTACTTGGTCATACTATCTTAGTCTGCACATTTAAACCTCTTTTTTTAACATTCAGTGTCAATTTATTTTTGTTTTGAGAATTTGCAGAAATAGGTTTGTTGCCTAGAAGCAACATTGTGCGACAGTGGAATAGATTAAGCCAGTCACAAGCCAGATCTCACCGCTCCAGGGAACGTGGCTCTACGTCATTTCTTCCCATAATTTCACAATGTTGCCTTAAGGCAACATACTCCAAAAAGACCCCTGTGCAAATTATTATGTTTTAAAAATGTTTTCAAATTTAATAATTGCATTGATTATTAATAATCATCATATATTTGATAATTATATAATTTAATATATATTTAATATAATTAAACTGCTCTCATAATGTGTGCAGTAGAGGGTTAACTCGACTGTATGGGTCTCACCAGGAGCAGATCCTATGAGACGTCCGGAGAGATCAGCACCCGGAAGCTTCTTCTTCAGGATGGGCACGATTTTCTCGTCAAAGTACTCCATGGCCATGGACGAGATGTCCCGGAGCTCCTGCAGGACCTCGTGAGCTCTCTGTGGCGCACGGGTCGAGTTTACGTAGCGCAGAACTCGGTATATTTCATCTATCACCTGAGAAAAGCAGGAAACAGCAAGGGTTTCAACAGCTGCAGTCGAGGGTTAACAACTGATTATCTTTTAACGTGACTAATAATAACTACCTGTATGATACAGAAACAATATAACAACTACAAGGTTTTGGAAATGAGGATTCCTGAATAATAAGACTTTTACTTCTAATTAAGTTCATTTATGAAGCAACTATTTGCTTTTTACTCAGTTTCACTTCAGTCATTCATGTCACACATCACAGTATCGCCACTGTCGGAACAAAACCTTGTATTTCCATTTTTGTCGTTTTTTGACATAATTAGAAAATACCTGTTGCTCTTTACATTGTGTGTAAATTTAATGATGAATGGACCAAAAGAAATGATGCAAAATGACTTGGAAAAAACTCTGGTTCCATTGACTTACATTAAAAGTAAAGTGTGTTTTTCTCTTCTCCTGTAAAGTTAACATTTTGGAAATACATGGTTTCTTCCGACAGCAGCGTTATGCTTTTCTGAGCACATTTTGAATATGGCCAGCACTTAAAGAACACTGAACAACTGTCAAATTACAAGGAGGGCATAATTATACGTAAATAAGTCTTATTTAACTGGATTAAGTGCAGTGGAGCATGTTACACGTTGAACAGAAAAACTTTTTATAGTTTTCATTGCATTTTTTTTTTTAAATGGGGCACTACTGGCTCTTTGTACGCATATACTGCTACTCAGTGCTGGAGCAGGTGCGCCCTCTGGTGAGCAACTGTATGTAAAACAATATGTCATCAAACCGTCATCGGAGAGAGAGACGGAAAAACAGCCCCTGTGATCTAGACGTCATAAACCATCAGCATTTATGTAGAACAGTGACTAAGATCAGCGAGTGGAAATCATTTTGTGTGGAATTACAGCTCAAGAGGTATTTACACTCACTTATAAGGGCAATTAGTCCTTTTAGTGTTGTGTCTGCATGGTAACATCTTTAAGAATAAAACGTTATACTTGAATGTTCTGTTATGTTCTTTAAGTGGCATTCCCGTTCAAGCTGACCATTATTTTGATTGAAAATCAATAAAAGGTAGAACAGTATAAAAAAAAGGCATATAATCATGGCAAACATTCATCACTAATGGCCTTGCAGTCCAATTGGAGTTCAATGATCATGTACTTTTAAGGCAAAACTCAGCATCACTATTTAACTGTGTGGTTACTGTCAGAGTGTAAAAGTGAGCAGGTACCTTGCCCGGAATGAAGCAGCAGAGATTGGAGTCGACGTATTTCATGAAAGTCATGTTGAGCAGGGAAAGGCGAGTTTCCACCGCGGCTAAGATGTCGGCGTGACGGGCCAGAGAGTGGTTCCTCCTCTCTGATTCTCTCCTGACAGACAAAACACAACAAAAACAGGGGTTTAACTTCTTTTTTTTCCCTTTTAAATTTATGATTTATTTAGAGAGTTTCCATATATATATATATATAAATAAAAACACACACACACACACACACACACACACACACACACACATATATCTAACATCAAAACAGGAGGAGGACAATTTATGTAATAACACAAATAAATAAATAATTTTGGCATCTTTCAACATGATCTCCACCCCCTGCACATACAGCAAAAGGCAGATTAAAGCGGAAGACAGCTTGGATTATCCTGTATTTAGCAAATAAATAACCAAATAAATAAATAAATAAATAAATAAATAAATAAATAAATAAATGAACGAACACCACCTTAAATCACATTTATAATACACCTCAGTGGTGCTGGAGCAAGTGCCTAGTGGCTTCTACTATAAATGTGCAGTCAAAATCAATGCAATCTACCACCTTTTAAACAGCATTAATTATTAATTATGCATGCGCTAATATATCTGGAATTTTATGCGCAAAACAATCTGGCACTGTTAAAGGGACATGAACTAAAAGGCAATTTCACAATTTTTTTCAATATATCTGGACAGTTCAATCACTGAGATGGAAACAAAGTCATTCAGGGTGGTTTGATGTGAAATGAGGTACAGAAACTTGCCAACTCACCAGATTTTTATGCAGTGGTGGTGACAGGAACCAGGCCTGCAATGTCTAATATGACTACAAACATAGCCATTGTATTTACAGAGCCAAAATAGTGGTGAATCTAAAAAATCTAATTAAATAAATAACAAAAGCCTTGCATTTACCTCTCTGCCAACAGGCAGCACATTCCTATCTATTTACCATAATAAAACCCTCTGAAGCAGCTTTTAGAGGCATTAAACGCTTCAGATGTCTGGCTCCTATCACCACTGAGCAATTCTGACTCAAGCTTCACTAGAACGGCACACATCACTTTAAACCACTTTGTTTGCGTCTTAATTATTCATGCAGACAATGCAGTGAAAAGAAATCTGTGGAATTAGACCTGATTTATCCCTGATTGACAGTATATTCACTAGACTTCATCTGTGAGTTTTCTGTAACAGGATCAGGTGTCAGTTTTCATCAAAACACCTCTAAAATGACGACCGTCTGTACCACTTTAAGAAGGCGCCTATCAAGAAGGCCAGTGTGAAGAACCGTGTTGACATAAGTGGGTCAGCCCTAATTAATTATTGACTATCCTGCTAGTTTAAAGATTCAGGCCTTTTCTAAAGTGTCAGCTTAGTGTCGCGCGCTATATTCACACTCTCCGGTATACATTCTGTTCCAATTTCCACAAGTTATTTTGAGGAATGTGAGCCAAATTCCCAGAGACTGAACTCTGCAGAAGCTACTACTGATTAGGTCACATAAACGTGGTCACTACGCCATTAATTAAACCCCATTACGTCTTCAGAATGACATTTGATCTATTCTTAACTCTGCACCGATCAGGCATAACATTCTGACCACCTCCTTGTTTCTGCGCTCATTGTCCATTTTATCAGCTCCACTTACTATATAGGTGCACTTTGTAGTTCTACAGTTACAGACTGTAGTCCATCTGTTTCTCTGATACTTTGTTAGCCCCCTTTTACCCTGTTCTTCAGTGGTCAGGACCCCCATGGACCCTCACAGAGCAGTACTATTTGGGTGGTGGATCATTCTCAGCACTGCAGTAACACTGACGTGGTGGTGGTGTGTTAGTGTGTGCTGCGCTGGTCTGAGTGGATCAGACACAGCAGTGCTGCTGGAGTTTTAAACACCTCAGTGTCACTGCTGGACTGAGAATAGTCCACCAACCAAAAATATCCAGCTAACAGTGTCCTGTGGGCAGCGTCCTGTGACCACTGATGAAGGACTAGAGGATGACCAACACAAACTGTGCAGCAGCAGATGAGCTATCGTCTCTGACTTTACATCTACAAGGTGGACTGACAAGGTAGGAGTGTCTAATAGAGTGGACAGTGAGTGGACACAGTGTTTAAAAACTCCAGCAGCACTGCTGTGTCTGATCCACTCAGACCAGCGCAACACACACTAACACACCACCACCACGTCAGTGTTACTGCAGTACTGATAATGATCCACCACCCAAATAGTACCTGCTCTGTGAGGGTCCATAGGGGTCCTGACCACTGAAGAACAGGGTAAAAGGGGGCTAACAAAGTATCAGAGAAACAGATGGACTACAGTCTGTAACTGTAGAACTACAAAGTGCACCTATATAGTAAGTGGAGCTGATAAAATGGACAATGAGCGTAGAAACAAGGTCATAATGTTATGCCTGATCGGTGTATGCTGTGTATAATACTATCTGTCCATCTGCAGAAAACAAACTAAATTTAAGCTCTCTGAAGAAAGGCCCATCATTTTATTTGGGAACTTTGTGTTTGGTTTCCTGAGTGCTATTGATTAAACCTAACTGTCCAAATTCCATATGAATCAATGCTGTTATTTTGGGAGTAGAGCTCACCTTGGCAGCTGGGCCTTGACCTGTTTCTGACAGAGGCTGTGATAGCGCTCCACTCTGAGGAAGCCTTGGTTGAGCATGCGCTGACAAATCATGTCCATGCGCTTGCACACCTACAAAAAGAGAACAAGTTAGGCTAGAATTAGTTACAGCGATAGTCTTCACGTACAGAAAAACACTGGTGAATTCATATAAGCAATGCTGAGTGTGAGAAAGGCACTATATAAATGAAACATAGGTCCACATAGTTCCCATGTGTCAAACACAAAGCCTGTGGGCCAAGTAAGACAATCCTATTCGGCCCATGAAATTACTTTAATTTTCTATTCTTATTAACCCATTTCACCCTGAGGTGCACTACAGTCCCTAGCATGCACTGCAACACTGTGCATTCCCACCCACTGTTTCCCACAACGACAATCTGTGGGCCACAAGTTATTCAAAAAGAAAAGATGCCACAGTTCAAGCAAATAGGCAGTTTTAAAAAAGCTACCATTTATTTTTATACAGTTATTTTTGAACGAGTATCTAGTGCCCATTTTCCTGTTGCAGTTCTGGCCCATTCTGAATAAACAATGGCCCGTTTGGGTCGTGGCAAAATGTTAATTAAAAGTAAAATAAAAACACAGCTGCCCCGCAGATCTAAGTGATTAAGTGACCCTTATTAGTCCCACAATGGGGAAATTTCACCTCCGCATTTAACCCATCTAAAAACACCACATACACACTAGTGAACACACACACTGCCCATGGCGGTGAGCTGCCCTATCCACGGTACCCGGGGAGCAGTTGGGGGTTAGGTGTCTTGCTCAAGGGCACTTCAGTCACGTGCTGTCGGCTCAGGGGATCAAGCCGGTGACCTTCCGGTCACAGGGCTGGTTCCCTAACCTCCAGCCCACGACTGCCCCCATCTGAGATCTGCTAAGATTTTTAATATGGCCTGGTTGAGTTTGCCACCCCTGATACAGGTGTACATTCATCAATTGAGACGGCGTTTCAGAACCGTTGAGTATCGGTATCAGAAGGAAAAAGGGATGAATGTGATCCAACCCTGCAACAAATCTAGCCTGAATTACCACATACATTGTAAGATGTTGAGGCCAGGTGTGATGTTCGCTGGGTTCTCTGTGTGCCACCAGAGTTGAGTGGTTTAAGCATTACTGACTTTTAGATGCTAGCTTCTCCGGCTAGAACTGAGCTCCACCAACAGGTGGGCATTCATGCACTACATGACCCTCTGACTGATTTTTTTCAACACCAGTTATACAGGGTGATTCAAAAAGATTCATCCGATTTCAAAATGATTGATTTCCCTTGTAAATCATTACAGATCAATGCAGTGAACTGTAAATGGTTTAAATGAGCATAAAGTTTATTATGTAATTGTACAAGGTCTCAGTCTGAACCTCCTCCAGCTGTACAGACATCAACAACACCATAGTCAAACTCATCCCATACTGGATTGAGCATGTCGGGTGTCGCTGCACTCACGGCTCTTTCAGTGCGATTTCGGAGATCATCCAGTGTTGTGGAACCAACGACGAACGCTCTGAGCTGTTGGAGCTTCACTGCCCACGAAAATCACACTGCACAGTTATGACGGATTCACTCTTATTGAAGTGGAGAACGCAGAACACTTTCTGCTCAGGGGTTGCATCTCCTTGCAGACAATTGGATTGTGATTGGTTCCTAGGTGCCTCACGGTTATAAAATTACGGCGCTTTGAAATCGGATGAATCTTTTTATACCACCCTGTATAATACACAGCCCAGTCTAAAAAAAGGGTCAACTTATACCTCAATTATAAACAACTGCAATTTAAATCGTAACCGCAATATTGGTCAGAAAAATCGCAATTAGACATTATCCATTAATCATTCAGGGCAACAGTATAGGACCTGGAGATGGACAAAGTGTCATATCATGATACTTCAGAGAGTGTATGATACACAACGTGTGAAGATATTTATTGTTTCTGACATCTGATAAGTAAGGACATTTTAAATGAACTATCAAAAACTACGAATCCAATTGCTAGTCAACATTTCACACACTGTGCTGCACTAAATCCAATTAAACAGGACTAATTATGCTCTCTTCTTCAATCAAATATGCAGTTGGGAAGTGTTAAGTACAGACAATATCAGTATGCTCAGAAAAGCACACTCTGACAGGTCATGTAATTTATCATAAAGATAATTGGACCTTTAAAACTCAACACATCACACAGTCCTTTTATAACTGCACTTAGCACCTTCAGCCTGTAAAGATAAGAAGGTGAGTGAGTGATGTTTGACAAGATAGCTCCACCTGCCCATGTCAGGCCCAGAGTTCTGTCAAGACAGCAAACATTTTTGTTAGAACTGCAATGAGAGCCTAGGTATATCTAGAATAACTAGCACACAGTGCAAAGCTGCAATTCCCAGCCTTATGAATCACGGTTACCACCCACTGGAATATGGAGTAAGCTAGTCAGCTACAGCCTTAAAGGGGAACTCCACTGATTTTTTCACTAACACTGCATAATTAAACATTTAATATGTAAACAGAGAGGTTCAGAGTGGTTCGGTGTGAAACGCCCCGTCCTAGATAAACTTACAGACTCAGAACTGTTCACAGTGGTGGTGATAGGAACCAGACGTCCACCTCTAAAAGCTCCCTCACAGAAAGTTCCTACATTAAATGGTTATGAATTCACTGCCTGATGACTGAGACACTGTTTTATGAGAGTTTTTGTCCTAAAACGTATTTGAATCAATTTATTTTAATCTACTCACGGTGGAAGAGCACCTGCAGGATGTTGTAAGGCAAAAAAATCCCTGAAGAAAACGTATTATTTCAGATTTCTCCCTGTTTTACCATCAACATTATACCTTCACTGCTGGTTTTGTATAGTAAACAAACTGTCTATATTAAAGTTGTGAGTTAAAATATATTGTGATCGATTTTCTTTAATCTATCCATGGTGGATGGATACATGTAGAGTGTTGTAAGGCAAAGTAGTCACCTGTTAAAACTTTTACTGTATGGATTTGCCTCTATTTTACCATTCTCATTAAATACAAACACTCAGAAGACTGTTGTAGGTTCTCTGGTGGTTCTGGATAGTAAACAAACTGTCTATATCTGTGTTGTAGTCATGGCGACCCCTGGTTCCTATCGCCACCACTGTGAAGACGTCTGAACCATTTCACACCAAACCACTCTGTGTCTTAATTATGCATAACATTTTTTTTTGAAAATTCGGTGGATTTCCCCTTTAGGATCTTTCCATAGCTTCGAAGTGGTTTGACAGCTGGCTGGCTGTGAAAATAGACGTTATGTTAAATTTCACGATGCGGATTTTTCGGAGTTACACAGTTCCCGTTTCCCGTTCCACCTTAAACGGTGCAGCAGCTGCATTCCGGCTGCTGCGGCATTTAAGGTGGAACGGGAAAATTCGGACCAGAAGCTGGCGGATAGGAAGCCAAGTTCAGCCTCGCCGTTAAAAGGGGCGAAAGGGAGACCTGTCCACCGTCTTTACCCCCTTAAAACGACTTCAGCAGCCTCAAACAAAGCCCGCGGAGGCCGGTTTTGCGGGGTCACGGCCAGCGGGGCTGAGGCTGAAGCTAACCGCTCTTTGTTTGTGTTCCGTCTCTCACCAGCCGCAGCAGGCTGATCTCATCGTACGACAGGAAGTTGAGGATGGTCTCGATGGCCACGATGGGGAGACCCAGCAGCGGGTTGTTCTGGTGGGGCTGGTCCGGCGGGGGAGAGGGCAGCCTGGGGGAAAGCGCTTCGGGATCCACAGCCGCTCCGGCGCCTCCCTCTGCTCTCTCCACAACAGCCGCCATCTTCTCTGGCTACATCAAGACTGGAGGAAGTGACGCGCCGTAAAGAGGCTCGGCTCGGAGGAAGTGGGGGCCGCGGGGGGACGCGTGGAGTGGTGGTCCCGGGGTCCTTTAGTTTAGTTATTTATTGATTGAGTACATACAGACCACCACAGCACCACACTGAGCCCAGGGGTCTGCAAATGTGCAAGATACATAATAAACGAGTCCCTTTTGGCCACAAACGTTCAATATATAAACGCCCACCTCCTTCTTTAATGTCTTTTAAACTACAGGGGCCTAAATAAACTCAAATCATCTGAGATGTGAGTATCTGAGTAACTACATGTCCTGGTAAACGAAATTAAACAGGCTTCATGATGAACAATACAAGATTTATTTATCAAAATTCGAAATTCAGAGGGATGTAGATTTTATAACCGATTCCACAGCTTCACAAATGTAATATCTTCTGATACTGGTGGTCGTCCAGACCCCTTTGTCCTGCACAGACAGCCTTCCTCTTTGAGTTTTTTGTGCCGTGTCCAAATCTGCTTTCCAGTTGGTGCATTTTTATTGAACTTTCTGGAAAATGCTGCTGCACACTCTTGTTTGACTGTGTTGGAGCATATTCTAACACACAGAATGTCTTTTCATTTCTAGTGAACACCATTCATCAACCTGAAAAAAAAAAACTTGGTTAGTTTTTACATATTTTGTTAAAATTCGAGATCATTTGAGGGAGAATTGGCTGTTATTAGACTCCGAAATGATGTCAATTTTTTTGGGACACCCTGTTTAACTAGCTATAAACAGTCACTGTTGGGGAATACATACAGTACATTACACATACAAAAGACAAAAGATGTCAGAAGCCCCCCTACAGAGCCCCACCAGTGATATCCAGATGGTATAAATAAAAATAATGCGTGGCCACGCCATATTAACGCAGATCGACTTAAGCCGTGGGAACGAGATAATTAAGTTGGGGCCACGACTTAGTAAGGCATGGGAGTGAGATCATGCCCCATTAAGTTATAGTCAAGGCTTAATTATCTTGTTTACATGGCTTACTAAGTCATGGCCACACATTGGTATCTCATTCCCATGCCTTACTAGTGGCCACACATTATTTTTATTTATTCAGGATGTCATCAGCGCCGCTCCATAGAAGGCAGAAAAAACAGTATACACCAGCATGACTGGTTTATGGAGCCCTGCTGGTGACATCCTGTATAAATAAAAATAATGTGTGGCCACGATTTAATCATCTCATTCCCACGCCTCACTAAGTCGTGGCCACGCATTATTTTTTATTTATACAGGATGTCACCAGCAGGGCTCCGTACTGGTCACCAGCAAAACCACAATATGTTGTGTTCTAGATGCTGGTATGCTGGTCAACCAGCATGGCCATGCAGGGTGACCAGCTAAACCATCACCAGACCAGCATTAGAACAGAATAAACCAGCTTAGACCACGGAATTAATGCTTGTCTGAGCTGGTTTGTTTCAGCAGGAGTTATTCAGTATGGTTGTAAGTTTCAGTAGCTTTGCTGTTCAAAGGCCATGACGTTATCTATAGACGTGTAGGGGGACTCAACATCAAAACTAACTAATAATAATAATAGGAAACTAGCAATATTATGGTCATTGAGCACTTATATAACCACATATTACATGAACTGTAGTTATGAAGAACCTTAAAACAGGGCTTACATACCAAGTTCACATCATCAGTTTACATACCAAACAACTTTGAGGTTTTTTAAATAGTGTACAGTGACCTTGTATTTATCAATGTAATGGCACTTAATTTTTAATTAGATTTTTTATTTAATGTTTAAATTGTTTTAATCACATTTTCATCATGTTTTTCATTTCTACTGCATCTTTTTCAATTTTAATCTGAATTATCTTTGTATTTTCCCCATTTGTAAAGTGCTCTGAATGACCGCAGTGGATGAAAGATGCCATATAAATAAACTTGCCTTCGGTATTTAGCAAGTGAGAAGATAAATAAGACTTATCAAATACTTCCCTTCATTCCATTTTTCATAATTAAATATAACAAAGAAGACATCTTAAAAGGAAAAATCAAAATTAGTTTGAACAAACATCAAGAGATCAGACCAAAACTTGCGTGTACACAGACTTGTATCTCTTTTGATAGAATCTGTGGATTAATTTATGCGTAACTTCTCTCACTTTGTTGGACAGTAGGTATCTAATGATGAGGACCGCAGCCTTCATTTACATCACATTTACATTTACAGCATTTAGCGGACACTCTTATCCAGAGTGACTTACAAAAGTGCTTTGTCTACCTGTTTGCTAGTACAAATGGGTTAAAGTAAAACTAGTCCTGAGCTCAGATAATAGAGCCAAGAGCCAGTGTTGGTACCCAGAGAAAAAGGAACAGAATTAAACACAGTGCAGCGCAATACATTTCAATGAATGCTTAACTCAGCGCTCGCTTAACTGCGTTTGAAGACCATGAGAGACTCTGCTGTTCGGACAGCCAGTGGGCGTTCGTTCCACCAACTAATAAAGAAAATTAATTAATAAAGAAAATGTAAAAATAAATGACTCAATAAATATAACTAAATAAAGTATATATTGCTTATTTTGATTGTAATTATACACATATTTCCTTTTTCTGCAGTTATATATTTCTAAATTTCTGTATTTCTGCATTTTTTTATTAATGCCTATGTTCTTTTTTATCTTGTCTATCACTTTACTCACTTTATTTATTGATTCCTTAATTCATTTATTTATTTTTTCATTAATTCTTTTATTTATGTCTGTATTTCATCCTTCATATGAAAATGAGGGGGCATGTTTTTCACGTTCAGGCTTAACAATCAAGCCCAGGAGAAGAACAGCTGATTAAACTGTTCTTTCACTCCATAAAGAGCTGCAACGTCACAAACAGACAAACTGCCGATGAATAACTCTCGATGGCTTCCACAGGCCGTATGTGAGCAGGGCGTCCGAATGTCTGAGTGATCTAGATTTTGCAGAAAAAGACGCTGAACCACCTCCTCCAAAGCTCTGAACACTACTGGTCGACCTCTAAATCAACAGAGGCAGCAAAATGGACCAAACTGTCTCCACAGCCTCCAACAGAAGAGTCAATAATCCGGACCTGCATTTTCAGCCAGATCAGCCGAGACTCTCAGATCCCTGACTGTCTGTTGCTGTAAGCAGCCACTGTTGTTCTGTGTTGTCCTTAGTTAGAACAATCGACCTACAGAATCTGATATCAATCAACCAATAGGAATATTAAGACAACATGACATTGTTGATTGAAAGCCCCTTTATTAGCATAAGGAAATACAGAAGTAAATAAATAAATAGGGAAATAAATCAATACAGAAAATAATAAGATGAAAAAAAGATTAGTGAAGAGGGAAAATTACTAAATAGACATAAGTTAATGCAGACATAATGTATGTAAGGTTGTATTTATTAATATATTAATTTCTATGTACATTTATTTATTTTTAGATTTGTCATTCTTTGCAATTCTAATTCATATATTAATTTACTGAGTTGTTTATTTTTGATTTTATTTTTTTTTCATTCTGGCAGATCTGGTCCGTCATACTGGGCTCCAGGACAGAGAAAAGCCTTGACACTTCTACACATCTTGAATAATGACGGGTCGAGCTGAGCTGTACTTGAAGCTCGCAGGGCTCGAGGTACAGTTTGAGTATTGACCATTGCCATCAGGTAGGAAGGGTCTGGTCTGTTTATGGCTTTGTAGGCGTCTGGGTTTAAATCTGATGCAGCTACAGGAAGCCAGTGAAGGGAGCGCAGCAGTGGAGTGACGTGACTGAACATAGGAAGATTGATGACACAAGTACAGCTTGTCTTCAAGGTGTATTCTCTACAATACCATCCCAGTATGGCATTATATAAAGAATCTAAACAATACCTTTCTGGAACTGGTGGTCCTGGAGATGCCCTTCTCAGATACAACTGTATCCAGGCTTATGGCTTAATGGCGAGGCCCTTAGTGCTGGGATCCACAGGAATATCCATGTAGGAAACTCAGTATCCACACAATAATACTAGTTATTAAAGTAATAAAAGCTACCGAGAGCAGATCTGTGCAGCCTGGATTAATCTGTGTCTGAGGATTATAACAAAACAGATTTGGTGAAAATCGGCTGAGTAATAAGGAAGCTGTGGCTGATTTAATCCTGAGACTCTTCGTCTCTCAATACAAGTGAATTTGTTCACAAGCGGATCTTGACCTCTCCAACATGGTGGATGCACAGGCTTATCGCCTCAAATAGAAAACAACAGACAACTCAGCATCTAGGTACAGTTATCTATGGTCTCGGCCTGAAAAACACAAAAATGTGCAGTGAAGCGGTCCTCCAGGCGCAGAGTTGGGAAACACTGCTTTACCCTTTGATATCAACCCATTAAGAAAAGCCAAAACACATTTAATACTTAATGGTCTCAAGGCAAGGCAAGTGTATTTATACATCACATTCCATACACAAAGTCAATTCAGTATGTTTTACGTAAATAAAAGCAAAAGGAAGATTCATTTATCCTCTAAACCTTCTGGGTCTCGGGGTGGGGGGGGCGGTGTTAGAGCCTGTGTGTGCACTCATTGGGCAAAAGGCAGGAAACACCCTGGACAGGTCACCAGGCCATCTCAGGGCAGGCACAGGCGCATCACACTCACACTCACTCACTCTCTCTCACTCTCTCACACACACACACACTAGACTGCAGCCGAGGTAGTGCGGGTCCTCGGTAGGACTGTCCTATGAAGACTCCTCCTTAGTAGTCTATTGGTCACACAGAAGGAGCAGTCCTAACGAAGCTGCATGGTGACGTCACCAAAAAGGTCCTGCCTCTCGCAATTGCAGCGCAAAACTTGTGAGGGAGCTGGTGAGAAAACAGGGCCTGTTGCATTATGTTTGTTGCTACGGTAACTAATACGCCATCAAGCTTATGTAGTACAATAAAGTACATATATACAAATACTTCTCATTAAGATATG